TCCAGGGCAGCATCTGTTAACTGAAATATGTCAATTGGTATACCATCTATTCCTGGAGCCTTATTTTTTGCCATGTTCTTCAAAGCAGCCTGAACCAATTTCAGTATGTCCTCAACAATCTGAAGATAATTATAAGCACGGTCTACTGTGGGAAATTCAATGCTAAGTGAACTATAAGTAGAATGAAATACTGTGCTAAAAGAAATAATTTAGAAGAAAGTTCAATCTTAGTCTATTTGATTTAGGATAAACTTATGGTACAGTATTCAATAAGATATGTTAACATACCCAAGCAGTACCTAACACACACCATGTACTTCATGAAATAAGATTCTATGTGATTTGGAGAATGTGCAAATAAGCCCTCATTTCAAGCAACAGCATTCACTGATTTTCTTTTATCACCTTTGGCTGCGTCTCCAAGTTGGTACTTCTCTTCTGCCTCTTGTACTGCTCTCACTAGCACTAATTCTGCTGCAATTCACTTTTTTCCCCATGATTCACTTTCGCAGGAAAATTTAAGATAATATTATGGTATCTCTGCATGAAATTGGATACTTCCATCTACAAGTTAAGCTATGGACTTTCATATGGTGCACTTTTAATGTGTAAGCAGGTAAAATTCACATTAAAACAATGATGGGAAAATTATACCAAATACTCAAGAGCAACGGTGTCTCTCTGGAGACTAAAGGGCGCCTGATACAGGCCATGGCCTTTGCAATCACTTGTTATGCATCAGAGAGTTGGACAATGCCTAAGGTGGATAGAAGGAGAATTGACACCTTTGAGCTGTGGTGCTGGAGAAGAGTACTGAATGTTCCATGGACTACCAAGAAAACAGATTCATCCTGGAGAGGGTTAGACCAGGCTACTCCTTGGAGGCAAAGATTCTGGGGCTTTGTCTGACATACTTTGGGCATGTTGTAAGGAGAGACAGGTCCTTGGAGAGGGACATCATGCTTGGTAGGGTAGAGGGACAGCGCAGGAGGGGAAGACCCTCTATGAGGTGGAT